AAAAACACGTATTCACTTATTTTCGATAAAGAATCGACTCAAGGGTGGCGCCGGATTCCATCGAAACTTTTTTTTCAAAGTGAAACGCCCTACCCACCGGGTCGGTACAACGAGAGCAGAGGTGATGTGCTTCGGTTACGGTATAACAAGAACTAAGGACTGCCGGCCCGGCTGTCGCCTGGCCAGTGGCAGCGCCACCTGGCGGCCGGTCGCCATCTGCTTGCCTAGCAGACGCCGACACGGCAGATCCTGTGAGACTGAGTTCGATCTGCTTTTCGGCGATGGAAAGTCAGGCATCTTTGGAGGACTATAACTCCACGGATATTTTGAATGTACGCTAAATAAAAAGTCAACGCGGTTACCCGGTTCTTTACGAATGGGTACACCCTAAAACATATACCCTCTTCGTCTCGATCTTCGAGATGACACAGATTTTACGCGGAGCGGTCGACGAGCGCCGAAAGCAGATCGGACTCTTTTGGTTTGGCAGCAAAGCAGATCGGACTCGTACGTTAGGGCGCATCGATGAGCGTTCTACCGTGGAAAAACTCTTTCCACGAGAGCACACCAAGGAAAACTGCTAACCTTGAAAAAAAGGGCTGCAAGGAAAAATGCTTCCCATAGGAGGGTTCTTTATGGAACGATCATCCATCTGTGGTGAGACTTATCCCATGGGAAAAGAGTAAATTGTCAGTTATATTGACAACAAACCTCTATTTTGTGTGACACCTTACCCCGACTTTGTTCTTCGAGAGGTCGAAAAGCTCTCGGGTGAAATGGTCTATAGTCCTAACTTTGAAATAAAAAATTGATTAGGCACAATTGAACGAATGCTTATTTCTAAAACTTACCGTGCTTTCATTGAATTTTTATATTTTAATATAATAGTTTTATACTAAACAGAAATTCAGACATATCAGCAAACAAACCGAAAAACAAATGACATTTTCATTTAGAACGGCTTGTTTTGTTTTGTGTTTTTTGTTCAAAAGAAATCGATACATCAAAATCTTGTCGGCGAAGCTGCGGATTAGAATCGATTCTACCTAGTAGAGGTAATAGGGAGTAGTCGGGCCACGATTTAGGAGAGTTTCGGTTTCGGTTTCATTGGAGGGTCGGGAAGCACTCCCGCTCTTTAACTGCGAAGTCCGGCCGCGCCTATTCTTACATACATGTTTTCATCCGGCGTACCAGTCGGAAAAGGCCGATCGCCCCTCCTGCCAGAAAGCCCACTGTCTCTTGCTCAGGACCGTCATATCAAGAGGCTGTACTATTTAGTCCAATAGGTGAAGTGGCCCTCCCTGTTCTCCACCTCCCACCCCCACAACAAAACAGCGTGCAGGTAATTGTGAGTAAAAATAAAACACCCTACTGTGCTATTTAATTGAAAGAAGAATGCACTTTATAGTAATTTATTTTTGTCTCCAGGAGGATGTTGACATGCAGCAATATTTAAATAATAAGAGGGCAATGAGAGCCAATGTCGAGCAGTATGATATTGCTCTCAAGAAGAAGAAGAGTGAGCTGACTGACCTCTGTAACAATTCCTAATGTTCTGTTTTTGTATTTTTATTTTTGAATTTTCATAATGGATAATTTTGTACTCTTGATCGAGTATACTTGGGTACATCTCTTTAATTTTTTTTAATAAATCATGTTCAAGCATTCAACTTTTTTGTCTTGTTATTCCAATCATCCTTTTATTTATCACCAGACCCCGTGACCACGCGCTCCGCTCAGCGAGCTCGCTCTGGCCAAGCGGTCAAGCACCCAGACTCTTGTCTCGGAGTCCGGGGTTCGGTTCTGGCCGGCGGCGGCGACTGTGTCGACGAGAAAATTGACTTTCTCTTTAGTTGTGCTGATGTGGTTGGTCTGCGGATTGTCTTCAACGCATATAAAATCCGCAGATGGCTCCTAAACTGTGCGCGGTTCACTCTCACGCAATCCGCAGACTAGTTTGACTGCGAATCGTTTGCGGATTATCTAAGCAATGTCTGCAGATCATCGGGGAAACGTCAGCCGATCGCACCTTGAGAAAAAACTGCGATATAACTGCGGATTGTCTGTGCATTATCCGCGGGCCATCTAGCAAACATTACCGCCTTGTTTAACGAATGCCGACTATTACCAGCGGTCTGCAAATATCTCGCAGACCATTCCTTCGCCTCGGGGTGGACTTAAGCACAAAATTCGACCGGCGTTCGTCATCTTCATGGCTAAGAAGCAAATATACCGAGTTTGAACCGAATCGGGAATTTACACCTACCTAAGTCTCCTTGTGAGAGCCGGTCACTCGGAAGCTGTCTTTGTTGAGTAATTTCTTTGCCCGACTCGCACGACTCACATCGTCATCGGGCTAGCGGGAACACATTTATCCGCCCAATCAAAAACACTCAAGAAGATGTCCTACAAGAACCTGAGCAAGAAAATGTTGCTGGAAAAAGCTCCCAGTTACTACCCAGCCAGTAAAAGGGGAAAAGCAGCAAAGGCCAAAGTTCTGGGAAACAGCTATATGAATTGGATTAAAAGAAAATGCTATGAGTGTTATTATTTTTATTGCACGTGTTTTTAATCCCTTTACTTAAGGGTATTGCGGCCGTCGGCTTTTTGGCAAGGCGACTCTTCGTATCGTAATAGTTGATCTTCTAATGGTGACCTTTGGCATGGTGCCCCCTTTTGGCGTGACCTTTCTTGTGGCGGCATGTCTTGACTCGGTTTTTCGGATGTCGGTGGGGAACATCATGCTCCGTGTGGTTACCACCTTGTGTATGCTCTAGGTCGCAGCCTTTTGTAAACTTAGTCATGTCCTCCTTTTGGCAGTACGGATATGTTATCCAAGGTTGCCATGAGTTTCCTGATTTTGCATACATGATCTTAATGCATTTGACTGTCTCGTCAAGATCGTTTAGTACGCGGTCACAGTGCACATTACACATATTCTGATTTGGTTGAGGCGATTCCTGTTGGTAAAGAAAGTTGTGGATAAAATCTCAATTTTTAAAGATCTTAAGTCACTGTTGTTGTGTACCTATTAACAGTTCTTTCTAAAAAGCTCCTGAAATTCGGACAATAGACCATTCCGGTAAAGCGAAAAAAAGAAGAACAGACGAAAGAAGCAAAGGCGAGTATGAGAAATATACGGTGGTGCGTCGGTTCCACGGTCGTGTCAAACGGTTAAACGTGACTTGTCTGATGTCTAAATTCGTCTGGGAGTTAATGACAATGGTTCTCACTCTCAGGCGACGCAGAATATCTAGTTTACTATGGATTACGTTCAAGCGGTCCCTAGGCATTTCTCATAGAACGCTTTGCTTCTTCCGTCTCTTCTTCTTTCTTTTCGGTTTACCGGAATGGTCTATTGGTTCAAGCGCATAGAACAGGAATGGGAGGGGGCATTTTAAAACAAACCTGATGGACTCGTTTCTTTCCATCTTCTCATGCAGGAGCGTGACTGTAACGCCTGTTGGCACCACCAGGCTCAAGGGTCACCTGATCAGGCAGTGGGATACCGGGCCCCTTATTTTATGTTTGTTAAAATAAAAATTATTGACAGCAGTTTGGATTTTGAATCAAAAAAGATTTTGAATTCAAACTTTTCTCAAAACTTAATATTTTATTAAAAATATAATAAGGGGCCCCGTATCCCACTTCCTGATCTTTTCTCATTAAAATGTTCCCTAACCCAGGTTTCTTAGTCAAATAGTTCCGGAAAAAAGTTTGACGCGTCCTAACAACAAGATCCAACAAAAATGAGGTGAAAATGATCAAATGGTCGATTAAATCGTTAAAAA